GGAAACACATTTGTGAGGGAAAGAACGAGGGGCGCGGGCGGGGACAAGAAAGGGATGTTGTGACAAATTCCGAATCAAAGGAATCGGCTAATTTTCAACGTTGTTGGCGATTCGGACAGCGGTTCGGTTCTGATACTTTGCGAGCAGCACTGCGACAGAACACTCCTTCTTTCCATCATCTTATTTCTTTGCATACATTTGTTGCGTTTCATATATTTGTTAACTTCCATTAACCGAAGATCTGTTCTTTTCAACTGCGTGCATAAAAAGAGAGAAATAAATATATAATCATTAACATTGAAGAGTAAAGGGAGGAAGGAGAAGGAAAATGCAGATAAAAAGAACAGATCCGAAGTACCAAGATCTTCAGTGCATAAAACTGAAGGCGTTTAAGAGATTTCAGCGAAGTAGAAATTAGCGGTCCTATCTTGGTCAATATTCATTAGTTAGCTTCGATACAAACGGCTATTAAATATTATTATTTAATTATCAGCTATCCTCTCACAATTCACGTAGTTATCAAAGATTCTTATAAAATCGCAGATCCAACCTTGATCGATTCTTCTACTGATTAGAAAAAGGGATTGACTTATTTACTTATCAACTTTTCTCATCGACGAGTCATTATTAATTCGCATTAACAGACTATCGCTATCGTTATCAAATCTCAATATTATTCGCAGTTACACACATTTTTCAAGCATTCACACACACACACACACACAAACACACAGACAGTTCAGCTTACATTCCCATGAAGAAATGCAGTTCTTGCAGGAGAGAAGAAGTTAAAAAAAGATTCTTTCTCTAAAAAATTCGATAAAATACGTTATTATATAAAATATATTATTTTATAAAAGAAATACAAAAATATAAAACTAATGTTATAGTCAATGTTTGAACTATTGTAAAAACGCGACTAAGATCAACGCGCTAGAAGAAATCGCGTAAATAATATTAACAAATTTAATTAAGTTAATTAAGTTAATAAATATTAAATTAATTAATTATGCAAGAAAATTTGAGATCTCACATCTTATTTTAACAGATCTTACATGATCTTACAACTTATTTTAACAAAAGTTTTTGATCGCAATATTAACTCAATCATGAATATTGCAAATAAATTAACGATTTCAGCGTAATTGAGAGACATTTTTCCTGCGCATTTCCTACATTTCTTCACGATTCAGAGGTGCTCGCATAGTATTTTCAAATTACGGGCAATAAACAACACTGTCGAGGACGGGCAAAGCTCGTGAAGAATAGTGATGAGCGGTAAAAAGAGAGAGACGCAGAAAAAAAAAAAGAAAAAAGAGAAATGAAAGGGGAAAAGCAGCGCGAAACGCAAAGAAAATGGGGCTTACGCAATCATACACGCATCATCCCGATGCAACTGTACAACTATAATACATTCGTACATCAGCCGATGCTATAAATAAAGAGCAAAAAAACAAAGGTCCATTTTCGCCTACGTCTTATCACAGGCTATAATAATTTAAGGATCTGTATTCGACGGGGGAGGCCGGTCGCCTCGGACAGCGAGAAAAGACAAGCGGAAATCTTAACGGACGTATCATAGAAAAGATGTTTTTCCTCTTCCTTAGGCTTCGTGAGAAAGAGACGCTCGATGGATACGTGTCCAGGGATAATGGTAACGACGACGATAGCGACGACAACGATGACAATGCAGATGACGATGTCGACGCTGATGTTGATGTAGATGTGGATAATGGATGGATGGATAAATAGATGTTGATTTTGCGTGAAGGATGTAGAACTTGGTAATCTCGCGCTCACGTGTGTACCTGTCGTCGAGTATTTCTTCGGATTATCAATTGCTACATTCGTTTTTTTTTTTTTGCTATTGCTTAATCATTACATGCGACAAGATGAGACCAGAACCAAAAGATTCAGTGCAACAGTGGTCTAGTTCATTTTAAATTTATTAAAATAACAGTTAATTAATACTCGAAAATTAAGAAATCTACAAACAAAGCTCGCCTTTAGAAAGGGAAGAGAAAAAATTTTGGAAAATTAATTTTATTTGATGAACTGATGAGCAAATGTCTTATTAATTTTCTCCCTTTCTGAACCTTGAAATTCTTCTTTTTGAAAGACAAGTTTAACTACTGTCGCACTTTTCAATCGTCGCAATATCATTATATAATTTGCGCTAAATTTGTGCAATAAATGGTTATACAAGAAACGATCGCAAGCTGTTGAGAAGCATTACACAAAACACGCACGGTAGACTTGAGAAAGTTGATTGCACCAACAATGGATCTTAATAAAAATTCCAGTTAGAAAATTACATTATAATAAAAATTACGTAGATTATTATCTCAAGAAGATGAAGATATAGACGATATAATGCTATCACACATGGACAAAGATAATCCATCAATGGCAAAGGCATATTTCAAACAATAAAAGAGCTGGTGCAAACGACTCTCGTTCTTATCTACGGGTAAGTGCTCTAACTCAATTATTCATTCGACATATATGTAAAATAGATAAAGATAACAAGAGTATCGAAATATATCTCTCAAGCGAGCGTTCCCAAGTGCTTCGACATGCGTCACTTTGTTCATTGTCGAAGCAAGTCGATGTCGCGTCATAGCGTGATCTTTCGGCGTTCGAGATCCCACACGTGAAACATTGACGTCTTTTCCTTCTTACTTTAAGAACATTATACAATTACGCACGTACGAATGTATAAAATCTTGTTTTTTTTTTTTTTTTTTTATAGTACTAAGTGGGAATGTACGATCCGTTCCTTCTTTCTTTCTTTCTCCCATCGCGCGCGTCCTCGCGACGCATCGATCATAGAAATATCGTTATAACGATTTTCTTACAGATACAGAGCAGCGTATTCGCGAGAAGCGCATTTCTCACAAGAGTCCATGTCAACGAGATAATTTCTCTTTTTCTTCTCTCTCTCTCTCTCTCTTTCTCTCAAGAATGTCACGATATTTCATTCATGAATTTTAGTCTCGGTATCACGGACTCAGTTCGATTAAAACGTATCTCTCGCGAGGCTATAATGTAACATCAACGTTCCTTATGGGAATGTTTGCGATTAATCTTCGAATTACAAAAGTGTATGAGTGTGTGTTACTGTCGCTTCTTTTTTTCTGTCCTATTCATAATGGCTCCAACATTCAGAGGCGATATTTAAGTATCTCTCGGCAATTCACCACGATCGCGAATGTTCGCATTTGGCGCTTAAACGACACGCTTACTTTCGAATGTTGAGCCGCCGAAAGGCATACATCTGTCATTACGATTATCAACATCGAGTTTAAGTTATGGCACACCTACGAAAATAATCCACTAGATCCACGGATTCATATAAATTTAAGACAAATGGCAAAAAGACAGATTGATGCATTGCATTTCCGAATAAATATAAATATAAAATGAATAAAATTCGACGATAAAATTTTATTAGAACGGAATCGTCGGTTCTGAATATTTTTTTATGTGCGATGACAGTATACTAATGAATACTTTCTGCGTTTCTGTAAAGATATAAACGACGAAACGTTCTTTAGCTTCTGCATAAAATAAATTATTTTTACTCGCAAGAAAGAATTCTTATTTTGTGTTTCATTATTATGAACTTCATATATATATATATATATATATTAAAAATCGTTAAAATTCTATGTACATATCCGCTTTAAGAAATCTTAATATTGTTCGTAATTCTAAATATTTCTTAAATTATTTCGATAATATTTCGATTCCATTTTTATACGTGTTTATGTATGTTACGTGTGCGAAATTCAAAAAGCTTTTCCTTTTATTTTTTACCTTAATTTTTTTTCGCATACGCACATTATACCGCTATTTGTCAAGACATTGTGCAATTACATATAACGCTTTTCGTGTTTCTTTTTTTCGTTTTTACTTTATCTTTTTAGACGGAATGAATATACGGATTGTATCATCGTTTGAGTTCGCTCGGCCCTGACACGATAAAAACTATTTAAAAATTCTTTTATGAATCTACATCAATAGAATGCAAAAGTAAATACGCTTGAGAGGCCGATTTTGTGCATTGGCCAAAAAGGAAACATGCTAGAATTCTGGCATTTTTGATATTGTTGCTACGTGAGATATATATATATATATATATATATATATATATATATGTGTGTGTGTGTGTGTGTGTGTGTGTGTGTGTGTGTGTAGTAATATATATATATATATATATATATATATATATATATATATATATATATATATATACATAAATAGTATTCGACGATAAATTTCGTTTGATATACGTTTTGTGTCTTTCGTAAATGTAGGGTGGACACATCCTGCTTTAAATACTATTAATATAGCCTCTTTAACGAGACTATACTTTGCGTCCAGAATTTTTGTTCTTGACATTGTGGACAAGAAGACACGAAGAAAGAGAAAGATAGAACGAAAGAAAGCAAGTAAAAAAAGCAACATCGATCTTACCTCCGTATTAATTACGTAAAGCTAATTGCTACTATCAAATATCGAGTCATACATCCCTATATAATATCAATATTAATAAATACAACGCTCTGGATACATCCAACATGATACATGCATACTGTTATGACACATGGATTGACTCTTATTACTCTTGCGTTATTATCTGATCCACGCACGCGAATAACCTTAGGACCATCGATCGATCATTCCACAAAGGGAAATCTTGCTTATCACACATTCCGAAAATAAATGAATGCGATTGACTAAATTACTTAAAGGAAATTTTGTTCGATTATCCACATTGTCTAACGTGGAATTTCTATTAGTCGTATTATGAATACGCTAAAGTCAAGTTTAGTATTAATACAAACTATTGAGACCAATCGTTTACGCCTGTATCGCAACCGTCGACGTATAAAAAGAAATCATATCGGATTACTTCATGAGGCAGATGCACTATTGCGAGGCCTCGGCTGGACACGTCACTTCTACCATCATTATCCATAAGAAATATTGTAGTCTTGTCGCACAAACACTGAGAATTATGCATTGCGCGGCTGGATAATATATCTCGTCACTACACCATTACAACAGCATCCTCACCACAGAATAGGAAAGGATACTGATCGATCATCGTCTGGACTACATCTTCCAGATACGGCCTCATGGCTTCGAATCTGCCGAGATCATTAAACTCGATCGGTAGTAATGTAGGCCACCAGCAAATCGCTAAGTTCTTGCTATCCATACTGTTGAGTTTACAATTCTCTGCAACTCTGTGAAGAGTACAAATTTAAAATATAACAATGGAATAAAAAAAATGTAATCAGAAAAATTTTTTATACTTTATTTTTATAATTGTAAAAATCATAAATAATTCTTCAAAATCGTTACTTACTTTACAAAGTGCTGGAAGATGAATTTAAGAACATCAAAGTTTACTGGATTTAATTTGTTGAGCATCAAACGCAGAGCTAGCAGTCTGCCGCTTCGGTCTGCAATCGTTCCAAGTTTTGGAAATTTAATGTTGAGCATTTGATGAAATAATCACGAGTATTATCTATGAAATCAAAATACTAACCTTCCATGTTCATGCAAGTAGCCGACATAGGTTTGCTAATACCTCGTGCACCTGATATATAGGCATAATATATTCTTAAAAAAACTTTGCTCTTTATTAATATAAACGTAATAAAAATTTTATTTAACAGCATAATAAATATCTAAAGATTTAAAAAATATATATAAATCAGGATTCTAGAAATTATTTAAATGTCTATTAATTTAAAATTGAATTTACCTGATATATCCTCCAGTTCACTCATACGTTCTTTGTCAATAAGCGGTGGTAGTCTTTTGGAAAAGAAGTCTTTTAGAGCAGTAGCGACAGCATTTACAGGAATATCCAAAGAATGTATGTCGACATTACCGTCTACGTTAGAAAAAACAGAATCATATTATTAATTAAAATTTATATGAAAAATAAACTTATTATAGGCATTAAAAAAGAAAATAAATAAAAAATATGATTAAAAAATAAAAAAACTTTTTAACGTATAATATACCTTCTTCGAATTTTTTGGAAAAGCAATTCCACGTGCGCACGGTTACCAGGTACCCTATATATTCCTTCCGAATCTAATCCTTCATCCTCGATAAATCGTACACACTTCTCAAGGAACAAAGGTATCCGATTCGTTTCACTCTGCGCAAAATCCTCAATCAAGGGTTGCTGCGATTGATTTGAGATCGGTGTGCCTCCCGGGCCTTTATTTTGTTTTATCTTTTCTTGTTTCTTCTTTTCCCTCTCTTTCTCTTTCTCTGCATGCTTCTTAAGTTTCTCTTCTTTTTGCCTTCTTTTCTCCAACTTTTCGTCTTCTTTTGCCTTTTGTTTATCTTTCTTCCTGGTTAATTTGTCACTATCCTTTGACTTATTCAATATACCAAACTAAAGAGTAAGCAAGTTAATTATATGCACATTCAGTCATATATCATTTTGTATCATATGCGCCAAAAACTTACACTAGGAGAATTAATTTCACGTGGTGAAGAGACATCTAAACTTGATTCATCATCTGGAATGCCAAATGTATTTTCACCCCTGTGCTTAGCTAAAATAACAACAATTTCATGCAAGTTAACAAAAGCGTAGACACTGCAACTTAATGGAAAACATATTATTTGTATTAAAAAAAAAAAAAAAAAAAAAAACTAAGCTGCTAGTTAAGAAGCTTCAATAAAAAGAATATCTGCCAAACACCTAATATTCTTTATACATGCATAAGATCATCATTAAATTATTAAATCAAATTTTAAACTGTATATTATATTAAACAATTGTATAATTAGAAAACTCTCTGCACTAATTATAATTATAAATTATCAGTTATCAATTATAATTATAAATTATCAGCGAAAAATATATTATGTATATAAGTAACAATACAAGTAACAATAAGTATCACAAATTAAAATCCACCACATTACTTACAGGAGGCGCTGAACATCTCCTGCGTCATATGTTTCATATTAAACGGGTGTTGTAAGTATTGCTGTTGCAGAGAATTTCCGGAAAATCTTTTCCGTAAACTAGCCGCGGCGTATTTATATTGTTTCGATCTGGACCTCGTGTGTTCTGGATCGCTCGATTCAGAACTATCGGGCGTTTCGCTAGATACTGAAAAGACGGAGATTTGGTTGAATATCACAATAGAGTTCAACATAGAAACTTAGAATCGTAGATATTTAATAAAAAGAATAAGGAAAAACCTTTTACCTCTCTCTGCAGGATCAACACGCCAATTCTTGTCATCTTTCATGTTGTAATTCAGGCCAACTATACCGTCCCCGCTACCCATGCTAGCCAATGACGGCACCTTTGGTGTCGCGACCGGAATCGCCGTGCGTTTCTTGCGTATTCGTTTGTGTGACGAAGGTTTCTTATTCCCTTTGCTCAAGGCATCTGTCGCTCTTTGTCTCTCCAAAGAACTCCACTCCGAGTCGGAATCGCTATACGCTATGTGTATTTATGAATACAATTATATATTGTAAATATATCATACATAAATCATACATAAATTTAATATAAAAAACAGCTTTAATAAAAAAAAATCTTACATGGCTGTCCCTTTTCACGTCGATGACGCAATTTAGACTTGTTGTTGCCTATAGAATCTTGTACCAAAGCGTACATGTAATCACCGTCATAGGCAGAATACATGTTCGGCACGACGTCTTTCACCTGCGCGTATTCAGAACCGAGATCCACGAGTTCTGGTGTGGCGAGAGGAGCGTGACCCATTGTCAATTTTGAACCGTGTTCATCCTTTTCACCGATTGTCATCTTAGCTATCGCGTCCGTTACATTGGAAAAGTCTTTTAGATTGATTTTTCCGGGCTGTTTTAAAGTTTGACTATTGCCTTTCGGTCGCGGTTTAGGCTGGGAAATATATCGTCGGCCTGTTGTAAAAGCTCTATGCGAGTAACTGTTAGTCACTCCGTCTTGATGCATGAATGTGTCCTTTACCCAACCTATATAAAAAATAGAATTTACAACTCGACAAATCTGGAAGAATTAAATGTTGACATTGCGCAATAAATTGGTTTTATTTATTACTAACCAGATAGCTTATTCGTGAGTTCTTCGTTTTTCATTAGATCTCTTTCTCTTTCCTCTCGATAGAAATCGACCTGACTGTAAATATCACTGTCGTCGCTCGGTGTAGCTCTGTGATCGGCAAATTGTTCAGTCAAACCGGTGTCACCTAGGTCACCATCGGGCGTCAACTGTTCGTATGACTCGGAGCCGCTTCTAAAAGTTACAGACATACTGCTTCACATTAGACTTTGGGTCACAAAGAAATTCAAGCATTAATGGATCCGTTCGTTCGGTTACTAAATAGTCGCTTTTAAAATAGTTACCCGTCGTCCGGCGTTTGGAGATGATAGCTCTCGTGTCGCGGCGGTGGCATCGGATGCAAAGCCGAATACTCCAAAGTACCTTCCCCGCTATCATTCAAATTCCCTGGTTCCTCCATGTTAAATGCTTGCTCGATTTCTGGTTTCTTTTCCCATACTACTTTGAAGAATGGTGTGTAAAACGCGGCTGTATATAATGAAATGATTCGTTAGGTTTTTAATTTGGCGTCAAATGTCAAAATAAAGAATTGAATTTCTTACTTTTCTGTTGACAACTGGATGCCGATGTCATAAAATGTGCCTCCAATTTGTCCGCAATTGCGTTTCCCTCTGTGATAAGTAGATGACTTAAGTCGTTACTAAAGAATGCAGTTGCACCGCCAGTATCGGTCACAGCCATTATTTGTATCGGCAGATTGGGTATGTTGGTGGAAAAGGCACTGAAAAAAAAAATATGTATCAAATATTTCTTTTTTTTAGATGTGCGTACAAACGTGAGTGCAAATTATTAATACATACTTTAGAGTCGCGAGAGAGGCTTTCCTCTTTGTGGAGTAGACAAGTATAAAACCATGTACCAATTCGTCTCTGAACGCATTGGCTCCATGAAAACTCGAGATAATAACTTCGACTCGTCGTTTACATTCGCCCAGAAATGTTTCTAAAACTATAGATCTGTCTCCACTGAGAAAGCAACATTGATGATTGAGTAAAGGACCGAGAACGTTTTCGACCGAATAAGGATCTCCACAGAACATACACATTATTATCCTGAAAGTAAACGCTAGATAAAATATATGCAATATTATAAGTCAATGATGAAATGCTTCAATTAACATTCTACCTAATATCAGGCTCCAAACATTCAATAACGCTTTGGTATATATTTAAAAAACCAGCTCTATGATTTATAGATTGTATAAGTTGCTGCAGAGCGTCCTTTACCAGTGAAGTTGGAAATCTCTTGTGCTTCTCTTGCTCTAGGTCATCTATGCATACATCAATAAAGGGACACTGCAAACTATAAAATCGATATTATTACGCGCCCGACAAATTTCAATTTGTACGATTAATATGATTAATGTACCTGTCAGCGAGATTTTGTCCCTCTTCTCTGAGTTTCATGGCTTCCATTTCGTCAATACTGACTTCTGGTATAAACATTATTACAATGGGCAATCCTTGGAACGGTAATCTATCTTCCTGCTCCAAATTTGATAACAAGGTTTTCTCTAAAGAGGATCGGATGTACTCAAATGAATCTTCATTCGAATAAATACAAAAAGATCCTAAAACAAAAAAGATGTATTTCGTTATATGCAGGTAATGTTTTTACAAAACATGGATTTTTAATCGAGAGAGTATTTACCATGTGGCATGAAATCGGAGGTAGTAAAAGAATTATGTGGTAGTCCGACATCGCCATCTATGATGCGATATCCAAGAGTGTAGAGTTGACAATCTATTTCCACTTCATCATCATCCGTTTGTGCCCTTATTTCGCGAGCAAATTCTTCACTTAACCCGTTACTTCCAAGAATAACTAAATTTAACTGATTGTTCTCCGACGTTAACTGCCACTGACTACTGTGATTCCATGAGGAAGGTCTGTTAGAACGTTCCAGAGTTGCGTTATGAAATAATTTCACACTAATCCTGCTTGATGAAATAATATGGACTTCTTACCTGTGAGCTTTCGTTCCAAGTATCCTCTCTATAAGCGCATCCATGCAATTTGGATAAGCAGGACAATGTTCTCTTATAGGACAATGCACAAATCCCAAATGTTGAAACAACATTAACTTTCTGTCTTGATCTAATCTATCTAACGCTTTATATCTAGAAACAAAAATCATGTTGCATTGATTTTATATATAAAATTGTATAAAATTGTCAATGATATGTATTACCTAAAATCGTCCAATAATGCGTCTGTAATTTCTTTTATATCATCTTGTGTAATAGTTCCAGATGGAGCTATACTTTTAAAGTGGTAAAATAGATCGGCATGTTCCAATAATAATTCCTATAATGGCATCATAAGTGATTGCACACGCATTCTTTACGTAATAATGCAATAATGTAATTATTATACAAAGACCTTACTTGAAAATTATGTTTTGCCTTTTCAATAATTTCCTTTTGATGCTGATCATAAATTTCTTGACAATCATGATGAGAAAGCTCCTCGAAACATTCCCTGCCCATAAATAAAACTCTAACTTCAGATAAATGTTTCCCGGGTGTAACATAGCCAGTTTCTTCCAACAATTGCTTGAATTGTTTCTTCCACCTGATAGAGATTAATTATGATTGGTAAAAAAAAATTTTCAAAACAATAATTAAATATGTTGAAAACATAATTTTTATTTATGTGTCTAGTCGTTAATATTAAATATTAATATTTTATTATTAAAGCTTATTATGTTTGCGAGATAAATGTTAATAAGTCATCGTGATATTAATGTATTTTGTGATTGAGGATGTTTTGTTTGACCTTAACTTCATCGAGTAAGAAAATTAACTATATATTAATTAAATATCGACAAATATTGATTGCTGGCCACAAATATCTCGAATCTATTCTATATAATGTATAAGCCCACGCTGTTATAAATGTTAGCACAGTAAACATGATGTAAATGCTATTACTTCTATATTATATTGTAATTAAACAAATATAAAAAAAAAGCGGAAATTACCTTTTCGGAAGTCTGCACAAAGAAACACCACCCAGAATAAAGCAAAGCATTAGTGAATGTTGCATATAAATATTAGAATATTTCCAGAATATCAAATGAAGTGATGTGAGAAATTTACTACTCTCTAATAGACTAATATCTAGTTCTAATAAAGAATATATGATAATATAGAAACTCATCTCTTGCAATATTTATTTGTTAAAACAGTTATATATAACTCTGTATTGGGATAACTTACTCTAGCCGCCGTTGTTCTTGTTGTAAGGCATTTATATGATTTTTAAACACGGTCTCCGCTTCAGGAGTCTCCAACACGTCATATGGAATTTTCGTGCCATTATTTTCTCCAAAATCACAATCGATCCATGGTATATCTTCAGGACATTCGTAGAAGTACTGATCAAAATCGGGATGAGTCTTTATATATTGTTGCACCGCCGACCATTCTCTGAAAGGTGGTATCAATGTGCTGTACATCGACTTGTAAGAAACATTCGCACGAAAAAAAAGGAATATAATTATTCACATGAAACTTACTCATTAATTAAATTCGATATATCTGGACAAATCTCGTGAAGTATATCTGGCAACATGTCCAGGTAATCCTGTATCTTCTTCGCTATCTGTTCGTCTTTCAATTTCTTGATGTGCCTTCTAAATAACCGTTGCGTCGCTTCGATACCAAACAGCTCTACAAAAGTGGAGAATTCTTTGAGTTGCGCGAGTTTCTTCGATGCTTGCGACCATAAGGCGCGATAATCGGTCACATGTATTCGGATCAATCTCTGCAACGACTCTGTCGACGCGTCCAAGAGCTCCTTCCTGGCTCTAGCTGCCTCGGCAAATGGCACTACTTTGCTACGTATTTTCGTCTTGTCAACCAACTGCGCCAGGATCATAAACGCCAGATCTACGTTGATGTTCTCGTGCGCCGAGGTCTCGACGATTAAAATCGAGCTTTTGTACTCTTTGCGCATTATAAGTTTCTCGGCCTCTTTGACAAATTGCTCATTTGCATCATCGTTTTTGGTTGTAACCAGTACTATCGGCTTCTTCGTTTTCATCAAATTGTTCAGGATATTCGCCACAATCTCAACTTGCTTCTCAATCGCCCTGTTTGGCACGAGGCTCACATCAAACACACACAAAAATCCATCGATATTCAATTTGCCATCAGGTAGAACCTTCTGCTCGTATTCTTTCTCTATACCCAATTGGTTCTTACAGATATACATGAGCTTTTCCGCGCTTGTGATCTTCGTGGCCGCGCATCTCTTCGCATATGGCTCCATTTTGCCACCTTTAAATGGTTGAAATGACGCGTCATCAATAAATTCGGTATGTTCTATAACTTGAAACTGAAACTCTGTCCCATCCTCTCCTATTTTCGTCACCTCGCCCCAGTATAGAAAATGATCGTTGTTCACCACACGTCCACTGAAGTCAGACTGTAATAAAACGTTCGATGATCATTAAAACATACGATTGATCGATAACGTAAATGAGCTGCTATATACCTGTGACAACACCGAAATATGCTCCACATTATAATCATCGCTCATGGAGCGCATGAAGCGATTGCACAGGCATGACTTGCCAACACCGACCTGTCCCTTGTCCTTCTCGGTGCCAGAAAGTCCAACCACCGCGATATTAATATTCTTTGCATTGTCACTTTTCCTCGCCATGTTTAGCACGTTATCACTCGCAGCAAGTGTTAAAATAAATTTTTTTACTTTCTCTCTCTCTCTCTCTCTCTCTCTTTAGACAATGTTGCTCAAGACATAATGAAACACCACTGAAAAGATTTGCTATCAATACAAATTTGTCCTTATACTCTTGGTCATGTTCTACCCTTCGAATCTAGAACTTTGCATAGAAAATTGGTTCAATCTCCCTTTGGTAACATCTCTAAACGATATTGGATCACAATTTGCTTGCTTGCATCGGTGAAATCTCAGATTTTATGTACAAACATCTATGATTCTGACTTCAAATTTCCCATCCATATGATTATCTCTATTTTAGCGTGAAGTTCTTACGGTAAAGATGTGATTAAAAGTACATCGTTAAATATAAATAACACAGAGCTTGAGAACCCTTAAACACTATCTATCATTAAGCATAGCGTTTATAGTTTAGCACAGCTGTGAGCAATGGTTCTTTGGAATGGCACTGTGTATCTGAAAAAAGAGAATCACAACAAACAAAATGATTTTAGTCTTTTCCTCACCAGTCGTCTTTCGTGATCTATGTAATAGCTAGTATCATTATCTTTAATATACCATCCGTGATTTACGGTTTTACATCGCGTGTTCCTTAAATACAATTATGAGTCATAGATAACATATATAAAAGAGCTACTCACAATAGCTCTGCCTCGTGTTAATTGCATCAATGCGCATCAACAAAGGGCAGAACTGTAAGGGAGCCAGACATCTACGAAACATCGATTCTCTCCGAATCGATAACAACAAATAATTCCGCGATCGGCGGGATCTCGCCGTGATTTTCACTTTGATAGTTCACGAAATATTCTTCGGTATACTCTCAGAAAATCCGCACTTCTTTCAGATCGCGTGTCAATGTCAGAGAAGTAGAATCTACTCCGCTCGTCCGTATCTGCGGAATCGTCACCGCGTGCCGCGTTAGCCGGCTCTCGTTCTAGCTGTACCCTCCTACACTTACGCAGTTTCGGAAATGGAAGTGGATGTGCGGGCACACGTCCGGAGGGAGACGAGCGAGGTGTAGAAAGTGCAATTAAAGCGAACGGATCTAATAGACTCGCTTGTCCCAGCTGTACTACACGTTACACTTTCTGCATTCTGAAATGGGATAAGTATATTCTTGTTCTCCGTAATCGTCTTTCCATCGGAAAGCGGATGGCGGAGGAGGAGAGAACAAAAACTGATGGAAAGTGCAATCGAGGAAGACGTCTCTCCGATGCGAAAGCGTGCGAAAGTCGGCGAAATCCGAAGAGACCGCGCGTCGTCAGGTTCCTTTTAATCGCATTACACGGTACTTTTTTTTTCTTTCTCTTTGACGTGCTCCACGTGAAACGGACGAACCGGATTCAGAGGGAGGAAGAGAGGAGAGGAGGGGAAGAGAAAGAGACAGAGCGCGGAAAATGCGGCAAGAGGATTCACGTCTGTTTCGGGGTTTCATCGTGCCCGTCTGCATGCGACTACTACATGTCCTAACTTTAAGGGAGCGAGGGAGAGACGAGAGCCGAGCGCGTATAGGGGGGGGGGATGCGAATGAAAGGGGGTGCGAAGGGACTCTTCATCGGCGCGGTTCTCGTTGCTTCACAACGTGTCCCAGTGACAGCCACGGGTGTCAGATCGACATCCATCGATGACGATGACGATGACGGTGCTGGGCGACCGTCTCTCGAGGACGTCGTTCGGCAGAGGAAAAAAAATGAGGGAGTAGAAGAGCCGGAAACGTCCGAGGTCACTGCCGTCATCATCATCATCATTATCATCATCATTATTATTGTCGTCGTTGTCGTCGTCGCGATTCGCAGTGGAGTAAAACGCGATAGGAGTGAAGACGCGACGGACTACCTGAGTAATGAGGGGGAAGCGCACAGGAGCTGTCTCTTCGGGGGGACGCTGACTCGATCCGCCGTCACCGGAATCCGGCGGTGTCGGCGCGGCTTTCTCGTGGTAGTAGTGGTGGTGATGATGAGGATGGTGGTGGTGATGGTGGTGATGATGGTGGTGGTGATCGTCGTCGCCGCCACCGTCGCCGTCGCCGTCGTCGTCGTCGTCGTTGTCGTTGTCGCCGGAAACCAGGGACACCCCGTTCTTCGGCGAGCGCGCACCCGTTGTCCGCGTGTCCTCCGCTCCACTCCGTTCGACTCGGCGCGGCGCGGCACGGCACGGCGTTTGACGTTGCGACGCGACGTGACGTGACGTGACGTTAACACACTTACGCTACGCTGACGCGACTCGCGGCAACGCGAAAAACGGCGCTAACTCTCTCGTAGGCACGCAACGCGCGGCACCGCGACGCATCGACGCGACGCGACACGCGACGGCTGGCTGGCTTGCGGGCACGTCTCGTCTCCCGAGAGCGGCGCGAGATCGCAGGTGTTTAAATAACTTTCACGTCAAACACCGAGTGTCGCCCCGTAGAGGAGCCATCTTGCTGGGTGGGCACGCATCGGCGAGCGCCGATGTTTTCCGCCTGGGTAGTAAGGTCGCGCCGCTACGCGGTCAAGCCCGGACGCTTTTCAAGGGAACATCGCTACTTTTCCTCCTCCGAGGGGAGGGAGACTAACACCTCTCTCGCTAGAGGAATAAAGGAACGAGATCACACCTGATTGCGGATGAATAATTAGTAGATCGCAATACAATTGATAATAATTTTGTATAGTTTCTGTTAATAGGTTTCTGTAAATATACAAATGATAATAATAATTCTCTGTGTGTTCTTCCTCCTGTGTATTTTATAATCTTATTAAATTTGAAAAGCAACAGATTCTTGTTGAAGGGTGTTCGGCGAGCAATTTTAAATCAATCAATGTCTTTTTTTATCAATGTAATTCAACTTTAATTTCGATTTGACATCTCTTTTATTCTAAAATTAAAAAGAGAAAGGAGAAATAAGAAAAGATAAAGATTAAAAAGAGATAAGGAGAAAATTAAAAATTATCTATATTGGTAGAAATAGATGTAAATTTAATTTGAAATTTGATCGAAAAATCATCGCAGCGAATGTTCGATGAGAGCAAGTAGACGGGGCACCGCGGACGTGGCTACGAGTTTGAGCCGCGCGCACGCTCGGGCTGCCGTCTGGCGGCGACATCCCGTCCCGCGGACGTGCATTCGAAAAATGGCTGACAGCGGGGATGGTGTGAACAGCACGTCGTCCGGGAAAGAGACGAGAAACACGCTTGCCGATGGTCCGGTCACCGATCCGGCATCCAACATGAAGGTAAATCGAGCCGTGTGTCAATCTAACCTAAAATCTCGAGTCGCGCTGCGCTCGCCGGACGACCTTCGCGTCAATCTGACAAATGTATGCCACGATTGTCGTATTTGCCGCCGTTCTCACAGCGGAGTCGATCGGTGAACGAGGCCCGAACGCGTTTAATATCGTCGTCGACGATACTTGACCGTATCGAGCCTCGCTCGTCCCGAAGAAATGCAGAATTTCGACATTTTGACTTTTCTTCTCTCTTATTTACATTGGTCTCCTCCTCTTTTCTTTTCTCTGTCTATTTCTTTCTCCTACTGTTTCTCTCTCTCTTTCTCCCTACCTCTGTCTATCTCTGTCAGTCTCTTTATCAACTGTTCACCTGTATTTCTTTTGTCACTATCTCGTCCTTTCTTCAAGTCTTGTGACCACATGTGGCTGTTACGTAACTGGACACATGGTATTAATTGACATGCCGCTCATTGATGAATGGGCGTTGGTTATGAGCTACCTATTTGACTAGTCGGGATAATAGGATTCCAGTTTGCAACTGACTATCAAAATATTTTCCTTATCTTATTTTTTCTTTCCTCTCTTGTTATTTATTTACTACGTGAATTATTGAATTGAAGAAACAAGTAAACCAAGGCACTGCTTATTTTACCAGGAACAAATAAACAAAGATCTGACAAAAGTTTGCTTAATCTGCAAGATGAACACACGAGATTAAAACTCTTCAATATTCAAATTCAATGCACAAGACTAACACTTTATGTCCTCCTCTATGCAAATGTCTAATGATTGTTCCAGGCATACATAACAAGTCATTTCTTTCTCCACCTAATTAAAATAACAATATAGCAAGGGAGACAACTTTTGGAAAGAAGTGAATGCATGCGGTTGCGCATAGTGCCCATGACTTGGCATTTACAGTGCTTAATATTATTTTACATATAGAGCATTTTATTCACACAGTAGTCCGTAGGTTCGGTACCAATCACTCATGCATTGCTCGTAAACCTAGAAACACCATTTAGGCGTGGCACTATTCAGCACCACGTGAATTATATCGAGTGCAAACAGAATAATTAAGAAGCAATTATCGGGGATAGCGTACACGTTGCATAAAGGTAGCTTTTAATTATTTAAACTGGATATTCCAGCCGACAAAATTATAAACGGAAAAACGAACGAGGTATTTCAATTAATTCTATAGAACAATTTGGAGTATCCATTTAATAACAATCATTGTAATCACACGCTGATCTGTGACGTGACATCGCGTTTGCTCGATGTGAAAATTATATGCGTGAAACGAAAACGAAACGCGAGGAATCGAGCCGCTCAGATGTAAAATTTCTAATTCGTTTTGCGCAAGTATGAAACCTTTGGGAGCTTTGTACCAAACTACGGACTGTATTGCGGATACTTTGATGCATTTGAATCATGAAATGGTGGTTGTTGTGATTTCAGAGCCTAGAGGCATCAAATAATGCCTTTCACGGCGCGAGAACAAAATTAGTAAGTAAGAGTCTATATGTGTATAAAACACAGAGTAAATTTGTACCTCTCCTCTGCCGCCCTCAAATGCTGTAGAACGTTCCTCGCTACCTTCCTTGCAGGGCTGCCCTACTACTTTCCCGCCATGTAAATGTCGTGTGTGCTGATCAGATTATCATTCTCGCTTGTCGATAAGATAACACAGACTAATGGGACGATTATATACGCATTATTAAGAGTAACCTTAGAGCACCTTACGTTCTATCGAGTGATTTCGTATTCTCCAGGAGAGAGTAGCCCTACTTGAGACACGCGTTCAAGTTCCATCACACAGCAACGCGAGCTGATGAAGAGATGTACATGTCTCTTTCAACAGATAAATCGTCTGAATTGATCTGTGTACATTCAGCACAACAAACTAGCTTTCATGCGCACTCTTTCAGTTTGTAATTTTCGCTCAGCATCTCGCAGCCCCGTAGAAAAGAAAATCCGTCTGTGGTTTTCCATTCCTTAAACCTGAACTGTGCCTTTCGATTTTTTAGGATTCCAAATCCGGAGCGTTGAAGAAGTCCAGCCGATATCGGAGCCGCTCCCTGTCAGCCAGCAGCACCGACAGCTACAGCTCTGGTACGGACGCATCTACGACTGTGACACGCTCAGCGTAAAAGATTAGAGTAGTAGACTTCTGTGTGTTCTGCTTGTCAAAAGAAGAAATATATATCTCTCACTTCTTTATTAACATTATTCTATCTATCACTCTTTCAGTCTATATTTTTATTGCAAGAACGTTAAAACGTTCAAGGGTACTTACCGCGGGTATCGCTCGTGGTTTTTACTGCCGTGATTGTTTAGAGTTAGATCGTGCTAATAACACAAAGATTTAGCAATCGCATTAGTCGTCCCGTTAGGATAACCTGCATCTGCACTTCGATGTGGTACTAATAATCCACGTTTTTCGGCACCCGGCGCTACCTTAGCCTCTTATACAGGGAGTTCGTCCGACGAGGATGACGTCTCGCCGCGTGAGAAGATCCAGAAGACGGAGAAAGGCTTCACGGATTTCTGCGTGCGTAACATCAATCAGAACGCCTTCGGCCGTAGGGAGATTGAGATCGCCGAGCAAGAGATGCCGGGGATCATGGCATTACGAAAACGTGCAGCAGATGACAAGGTAACATCTTCTGCATCTCTTCCCCATCTCCCTTTCTCTCCGATAACGGCAAGATCGTTATCGCAGTCTGTTTGACGTCCGGCTACTTAAGGAAATAAAAATTCAGTTTTTAGATAAATTCTCGTTTGATCGCGAGAGAAAGATCTGACTAATATCTTTGCATAGCCGTTGAAAAACGCCAAGATCGTGGGATGCACTCATATCAACGCGCAGACCGCCGTTCTGATTGAGACGCTGGTGGAATTGGGCGCCCAAGTGCGATGGGCGGCGTGCAACATTTACTCTACGCAGAATGAGGTAGCCGCGGCGTTGGCGTACGCTGGGTACCCAGTATTCGCATGGCGTGGTGAGACCGAGGAGGATTTCTGGTGGTGTATCGACAAGTGTGTGGCGGCCGAGAATTGGCAACCTAACATGATATTGGATGACGGCGGTGATGCCACTCACTTGATGCTCAAGAAATACAACGCCATGTTCAAAATGATTCAAGGTTTATCTTTGTCTGGTGCAACAATACAATCTTATAGCTCGCTTTAGAGGATTCATAATCTAATTAATAATAATAAGCAAAGTAGATACATTCTTTTAATAATAAGTAATTTTCTTAATGGTTTGATTTATGGGCAAATAAAAAATAATGAAAATATGTTCTTTTAGGAATTGTCGAAGAGAGCGTGACAGGTGTACATAGATTATATCAGTTATCAAAGGCGGGTAAATTGTCCGTTCCCGCGATGAATGTGAATGACAGTGTGACAAAGACAAAATTTGATAATCTCTACAGCTGCCGCGAGAGCATCATCGATAGGTGAGTTACGTAAAGCGTATCTTCGAGAAGAGGAAACGGAAATATCTTTCTTTTGAATAAGCGACGCTCGTTAGTTCTTAGAACTTATTATTGATTGTATTGCTTATAGTTTGAAAAGATCCACCGACATTATGTTCGGAGGGAAGCAAGTTGTGATATGCGGTTATGGAGAGGTCGGGAAGGGATGCTGTCAAGCCCTCAAGGGCTTAGGTTGCATCGTGTATATTACCGAGATCGATCCCATATGCGCGCTGCAGGCCAGGTAAGATGCGCTCGCACGAGCGACAACTTTTGCCAGACAGACATCGCTCGCCAAACCAGATAGAAAATCCTATACATATATATTGTCGTATTACAGCATGGACGGCTTCAGAGTGATGAAGCTCAATGAAGTCATTCGAAATGTAGACATTGTTATTACAGCGACGGGCAATAAAAATGTGGTCACGCGCGAGCACATGGACAAAATGAAGAACGGATGTGTCGTATGCAACATGGGTCATAGCAACACGGAAATAGACGTCGTATGTCCCACTTTATCTTCTTTACCTGACGCGTGATTGCGCGACGGGCGATTATAGTGATCCGAATTCTCGAGCGATTGATTTGATATGATATCCGCTTGGAAGAAGGATTAAATCCGAGGATTAAATCCCCTTAAATATTGTTCTTAACAGAACAGTTTACGTACGCCCGATTTGACTTGGGAGAAAGTGAGATCGCAAGTGGATCATGTTATTTGGCCGGACGGTAAGCGCATTGTTCTACTGGCGGAGGGTCGTTTGGTGAACCTGTCATGCTCGAGTATTCCATCCTTCGTCGTGTCGATTACCGCCGCTACGCAAGCGTTGGCCCTCATCGAGCTATTTAATGCGCCACCGGGGCGCTACAAGAGCGACGTTTATTTGTTGCCGAAAAAAATGGGTACATACCGTGAGATATTGAAGTTGACACAACAATTTTTCTTTATATTGTATCTCTTAAGAAAAATGGAAAACAAAGGTTTATTATCTAAAATAATTTCTATTGATTAAAATAATTATCTTTGATTTTAATATAATTTTTTGTCTATTTAGAAAACCTTTTTAAAGTTCTTAAGTCGATACTTTGAAAAGATGTTGAGTTTTTTTATATTTAATCTAATCTTTTTTACTTTAATTCTATTTTGTCTCCATTGATTTGTCAAACATAATTAAAATGATAACTACTAAATCATAACATCGATTCGTAGATGAATACGTCGCATCACTGCATTTACCTACTTTCGACGCGCATTTGACAGAATTAACGGACGAGCAGGCAAAGTACATGGGCCTCAACAAGGCGGGTCCGTTCAAGCCTAACTACTACCGGTTAGTAAGCTGCAGGTTTTGGCATGAATGCGATTGATCGATCATGTGTGTTTGTCTATCCGTGTTACCTACCTACTGTGGATCTGTTTCAGCTACTAAAAAACCAATGGACGAGTAATGTGGCATTGACTAGCACGTGCGACACTCACTCAGCATTACACACCTTGACAAGTATTAAAAAAAAAAAACCAGCCACCCTTCCTTGACTTTGTGCCGAAGTTGGCTTTCTTTTTATCCCACTGACGTCTCTTCCGTAAAATCGATAAGAGATTTTTATTTATGGTTCAACCTTCGTAGAGAAAGACCCGCGCGACATGAGATTTCGCTATGTTATCGTGCTAATCATCCGCAAGGAATGTGTTAATAATGTCATAGTGAACTGATCCAACAGTTACCCAATAATCAATATTAGAAACAGCTGCCAGGGCTGGGCAAAATATATTCGAGAAAATCTAAGTTACTTTGAACATATCAAGGATGTTTCTTTTTTCTAATATTACATATTTCTTGTCTAGCCTTGGAATTTATACAACTAAATTTACTGTCCAATTAACTCTTGTAACAGTTTCCTTTTGGAAAATGCGCGAGTGTAGAACTTGCATTTGTCAAACAAAGAGAGAAAAAAAAAGGATTTCTCTCTGAAAAGTTGCCAGATTGTGCACGCCAGTAAATCCACGCACGAACAACTGTCAGTTGAATACTGTTGTAGATATAAATATGAATCGTGTATAGTTTGCAAGCCGAAGCGGTAACTGAAATTGTATCTGTCCATTAGATACTATCCGCAGTAAGTTAGAGCATTATAGTTTGTAAATTATATACAACGTTTTAATATAGAATATCGAGGAAAACGCGTATACTTGTGTATGCATGTAACGTGCTGGTGCAGGATGTAAAAAAAAACGAGAGCATTAAAAAGAAATAAAAAATAATGAACGTATTTTTTGATTGACTCAATTTTTTTCAAAAATAAACGAAAATTTTTCACGATTATGCGCTCTTAATTCATTCTTTTAACACCCTGTACGCGCGTTACACACAGATTGCGTTCGTGTACGCGTCTGTTGATTTCCTAGCGTGCCGATAATACACGTTAGTCAATGATATTGTTGTGTCCTTATAGTAACGAAAATTGTACGCGTGGCAAATTGCTCGCCATGAATGATGCGTCATCCGCGACTATTTATACACCACCCATTTGCGGGAATTTGTTGCGTTTTGCAGACGACTAATCGAAAACTCGTGTACATAATTATTTAAGGAGGAGAAGACCGACACACGAAATAAGGTGATAAGCTATCGTGGATTGCAGTCTGTTAATCTCTGGTTATCATTGTTACCCTTGTGCATTGGCACGAGGAATAATTTGCGTATCCATACGTTTAGGAAAAATAAACGCCTACTACATTTAGAGAATCGATCGTGCAGATTGTTCTTCCTTAGAACCATCCTCACCTCTCGATAGTGACTGCGAATTGAAATCGATTTACATGAATCGGTAAAATTGATCGATTGAATTATCGACAATATTAAAGACAAAAGTATATATATATGTTGAATTTTATATTTCTTTTTTTGCTGAAAAAAGATCCGTCTCGATTTTAATCTCGATTTCAATTCGTTCCGAAAAAAATTTTTGATAATTTAATCTCAAGGCGGACTGATATTGCCGGAAGAATGATCGAGATGGATTTGTTACGATTCTCGCGAATAAATGTTTGGCATAAATATCACGTGTGAAATGATCTCCGAACGATATGTCCATTCAGGGTCTACGTAACGAGGCACAAAATGAATCGAGAAACGAATTGCGTGGCAAAAACGAACGACGTGAACGGGAGTAAGTTTAGGACAGGGAAAATCAATAATGGCGATGTTCCTACTATATCGAGGCCAGAGCCTTCATTAAATAAACATGAGTAACATATATATAATTAGAATTTATAAAACGAGCGACGTCTCCACTTTGAACACGACAGAGAAACATTTAGTCTTCGTTACTTCAGGGAATCTCGGTGATATAAAACTTATATTGATGGCTTGAAAATTACGCTATGTCATCCGGCAAAAAAGAGAAATGCTATATGTGCATAAATTATACAATTATATTGTATCGAATTGCGCCTTGAGCTATCTGTATTTATGTAATTATGAAATTTATCCCTCTTTTCAAGGCAATTAGGAAAATGTTTAAATCGGAAAAATGAGATAACTTTTCGATATAAAAATGTTCGGACTTGAGAGAATACATTTCGACAGTAAATAACGACAAGTCCAATCTTGCGTCCTTGATAAATAAAGACAATACTTGGCAGAGTATTCGTGTAACTCAGCTCTTTCAGTCGAGAAGAGCAGCGTCAACTAGTTTCTGGTTCCAAGAAACTAACTATGCTTGACACATGATGATGTATCGGTTAATAAACTAATTAGATCAAAACGATTAATCATACATTCTACGAAAAATGTTATTAGCTTAATAAGCGGGACAAATATTTATGTGAATATATCGAGGATTAAATATAATCAGTTATGCGACACGAGCTAATCTTAGCATATCTTAGCTTATTTATCGAAGCATAGAGCTGACACGAACGCACTGCCATCCGTATAATTGCACGTAATTGTATACAGAGGATACGTAATGTTCGTTTTTAATTTATCGCGATTAGGTATCGATAGATATAAACGCAAATAAGAAAGCGAGATAATTGCGTCCGCGATATCCCGAGGTCGACATATATGTCGAAGCAACAGCGGTTCTTTTCGTTCTGTAGAGATTCTGCACACACTTTGTGAGAATCCTAAAATGGAAATAAAAGATGCATCGTGTTAACAGAGTATGATTTTTTTCGAAAAAAAGCTCTCTCCTTCTTAAAGAAATATATTCTTGATCCACATACAAATTGTCGATGTCTTCTCACGCAGGAAGATATGGTTCCGAAGGAAATGCAGACATCACGCTCGACTAAAGTTTTATA